ATCAGCTCCAAGGACGGCACCATGCCACTCCTCCTCAGCGGCTAAGACAATGGCGAGGTGGGCAGTCGGGGCTCATCAAGCCCATCCCCACTGGGGGAGGGAAGAGGGCGAGAGGGCTAGAACTGAAGCCAGGGCAGCTGTAGTTATGCGGAGGTGGGGGCTGCTGAGGGATGCTGTTTGGACCCCAGGTCCTGCAGGCAGAGGCTCCATAGGCTGGCCATGACCTCTGCCCAGGAGGTCCATCCTTCTCCCATGGCAAACTGCCCCCTCCCATGCTCACCGCCTGCGGTCCAGGGACAGAGCCTCGCCCAACAGTGACCACTGACACTGAAGAAATGGTGAAGGGAGACACAATTCTAACAGTGAAAGCCTGGGGGTTCTGATGGCAACTCAGGCACCTGAGCTCCAGGGAGCAGAACACAGCAAGGGGGATTCATCAGGTGACAGCATGAGGCAAGGAAGTTAGTGCCAGGGCACTGGACAGAGTGATGTGTGTGTGTGCGTGTGCGTGATGGGCTGTGTGTGGTATGTGACTGTGTGTGGTGTGTGTGTACGTGCATACGTGTGATGGGCTGTGTGTGGTATGTGACTGTGTGTGGTGTGTGTGTGTGTGTGTGTGCGTGTGCATGATGGGCTGTGTGTGGTATGTGAATGTGTGTGGTGTGTGTGTACGTGCATACGTGTGAGGGGCTATGTGTGGTATGTGACTGTGTGTGGTGTGTGTGTGTGTGCACGTGCATGATGGGCTGTGTGTGGTATGTGACTGTGTGTGGTGTGTGTGTACGTGCATACGTGTGATGGGCTATGTGTGGTATGTGACTGTGTGTGGTGTGTGTGTGTGTGCACATGCATGATGGGCTGTGTGTGGTATGTGAATGTGTGTGGTGTGTGTGTATGTGCATACGTGTGATGGGCTATGTGTGGTATGTGACTGTGTGTGGTGTGTGTGTGTGTGCATGATGGGCTGTGTGTGGTATGTGAATGTGTGTGGTGTGTGCGTGTGTGTGCGTGATGGGCTGTGTGTGGTATGTGAATGTGTGTGGTGTGTGCGTGTGTGTGTGTGTGCACATGTGTGATGGGCTGTGTGTGGTATGTGAATGTGT